GAATCATTCGTTTGGCACTTTCAGCTGAAGATTGTTGTCAATGCCTCAGCCTTGCCATTTGCATGGAGGTGCTGGACTGCCCCATCATTAAGGATGGTGATGTGTGGAGCTTCCCCTCCAATTAGTTTTTAAATTCTCCACCACCATTCTGAATGTGACTCCACACAGTCTGAAAGTGGTCAATTGAAACCACTGAATGTTATCTAAAATTAAGGCCATTCAGTTCCACCACCTCCACTGAAACAACTTATCCAGTTGACTAGACAATTCTATTCACCTTTAATCCTACATAATAAAAATGCCAACATATCCTATCCCAGATAACAAGGTGTAGAGCTGGATGAACACAGCAGGCCAAGCAGCATCAGAGAAGCAGGAAGGCTGACGTTTCGGGCCTAGACCCTTCCATTTCTGAAGAAGGGTCTAGGCCCGAAACATCAGCCCTTCCTGCTCGGCCTGTGTTCATCCAGCTATACACCTTGTTATCTCAGATTCTCCAGCATCTGCAGTTCCTACTATCTCTGAAACGATATCCTATCCCACACTGATATAAACAAACAAACAAACAAACAAAACAGTCTCCCAATTTCCTAATGCATTACTTTTCATAATACAACAGAATCATAGCAAACAAAACTGGGTCCATGCTGGCTTTCTGCAAAAGAACTGATCTGCTCCCGCTGTTTTTTTCAATGCAGCCTTGAAATATCCTTCTCTTCAGGTAATTTCATCACTTTTGAAAGCTCCAATTGAATCTGTCACCACCACACTCCCAAGCAGCGCATTCCAGTTCCTAACCACTCACTGCATTCAAAGAAATTCATGTGTTGTTTAATTTTCCAAATATCTAAAATCTGTGTTCTTCTGGTTTGCTAATCCTGCAGAAATGCAAATGGTTTCTCCCCATCTACTCTGTCCAAATCCCTCAGGACTCTGAACACTTTTATAGCATCATTTCTTAATTTCTAATTCTTGAAAGAGAATAATGCCAGCACTTCCAATGAATACTCCTCACCTCTGGAACCATTCTTACAAAACTTTTCTGCTGTGATTCCAATGCTTTTGCATCTTTCCTGAAGTGTGACACTCAGAATTGGACACAATACTCCAGATGAGATCAAACTATTTTCTTAAATCAGTTTAGCTTTCATACGCTACTACTTTCTGGCCCTCTTTGTAAAGGCAAAGATCCAGTATGTTTTATTAATTGCTTTCACAACCTAGTATGCCACATTATTTCTATACCTATACCCCTTGGTCCCTGCTCATCCATTTCCTTTAGAATTGTACACACTCTCTCTTACTTCCAACCAAAAGACTCATCATTAAGTTTTACCTGCCACATGTCCATCCATTCCAGTCAAGTCCATTTTTTTCTCAAAAGTCTCTCCCCCTTTTTTCCTTAAGAGTTCAATACTTCCACTTTCATCTCATGTGCTAATTCTGAAATTGGACCCTTCATACCCAAGTCTACATTATTAGTACAGAACAACAAAAGCAGGAGCCTGAAATACTCAATCCTGGGGAACTGTGTAATTGTGGAAATGTACAACTTCTTTCAGCCCATAATACAACCATTCACTGCTATTGTTTCCTATCACTCAACCAACTTTGTATCTGTGCTGCCACTGTCCCTTTTATTCCAATGACTAAGTGCCACGTAATGGGCTCATCTGCACGTCTTTTGGAAGTCCACGTACACCCCATCAATCCTCTTTGGAGAAATTAAATTGGCGATCATATGCATCAATATTTAAGTTGATTAGAGCTGCAATTATGTTAATATACACAAAGAACCACGCAATTACAGAAATCCAGTTATTTACTTTGACATGTGTTACTTGAAACACTGTTGGAACATTGGTGATACACAAAACCCACTCGCAACTAAAGTAAATATAAGATACTACAATCATAAAGTGACAACGTTACATATAAAAATTTACATTCATGGGATCAAGCACAGCAATTGCCATTATTCTCACATGCAAACATGAAGGCTCATCCAATCTTTTGGAATTTTTGCATTTCCATTTGGTATAATATTTACCTGGGCATACAGATTCTGCTGTGGATAGGCACTTCTAATAGGATACATGGCAGTCTGGTAAGGGTTTGGAGATGGAGAATATGGGGGAGGTGCACCATTACTCTGAGTAGGTGCTACCTTGTAAGGGGTTCCTCCAGTGTACCCTAGAAAAGATAAAAACAATTAAAATTACTAGGAAGTTATCGATACAAACCTTTTCTAAAATAGGTTTTCTAAAATAATTATGGGCACAGTTTTTGAAGTTAAATTTGGAATATATCCAAAGCACTAACTCAGTTCATATCTGAACTACCGTGACCAAATTCAAATCATACGATTTCTCTGTTTTGTTAGAATATCATTAGAATCAAGTAAATAGTAGCAGAGTTCTAGTTTGTACCATGAATTCAGAAATCAAAAACTAAAAATTCAATATTTAAACAGCAACCACCCACTAAACTGAAAATAATAAACATAACAGTAATGGATACATTTCATAATTAACTAATGGAAAGCATGCAACAATATTTCTACTCATTCCAAAGGATGCTGTCGCACACAACTGTAGCATACTTCAGATAACTGCTGACACATCATTTCGTTAGGAACGTTAATGGTCTAGAGGGTACTAGTGTGATATCTCTCAGTGAACTAGGTTTCAGATTTGTTTTCTCGGTCACTAACAACTGTACCTTCTTCCCCACCCCAGTCATCAGCTTGGAGGATTTGTATGTTGCAAGTTACTGAAAGTGTAAAGGGAAGATGGTGGCGCTGTGGTAATGTTATTGGATAGCAATCTGGTTAATGTTCTAGGGACATTGATACAAATCCCACCTGTGCCAATTGATGGAATTTAAGTTCTCTTAACAATAAAAATCTAGTATTAAAAAAGTATTGACCACAAAGCTATCAATTCTTGTAAAAACTCTGGTGGTTCACAGAAAGGCCTTTAAGGATAGTAGATTTCTATCATTAGCTGGTCTGGTCTACTTATGATCTCAGACCCAAAGCAATGTGGCTAAATCTTAACCGCCCCCTGTATAAAAAATGGCTCCTGAGAAATGTAGGTATTTTACAACTAATAAGAAAAGGGTTCTCTCATTGTAAAGGGTTTAGTTTAAATGTTCCAGAACACAACTGCTTGGTAAAACCCTGAAGGGATTGTGTGAAGCTGAGAAAATCCATCCTCAGTTACCCACAGATCATGGAACAGGCTAACAGATTCTCATGACCAGGAATTGAAACCATAGCTAAGTAAAACTAGTTCAGAGATAGTAGGAACTGCTGATGCTGCAGAATCTGAGATAACAAGCACAGCAGGCCAAGCAGCATCAGAGGAGCAGGAAAGCTGACATTTCGGGTCTGGATCCTTCTTCAGAAAATTTTGCTTGGCCTGTTGTGCTCATCCAGCTCTACACCTTGTTATCGAAGTAAAACTAGAAGGATAGAGATGGGATAGAGAAGGGAATTCTCTCTGGTGTTTAAGTACTATAATGGAATACAATCAGGATTAATAGGACTGTATTTTGCCATGTCTTTCAAAATCTTTAAATTTGTGTTTTATGTAAATAGTTTGGATTATTCCATTTACCTTCATTTCTTTTGCATAATAAACTTCTACTTATTATCTTGTTAAACGCAACTCTGTGTTTTCGTGAAAGACCACCTTGTTAAAACCAAAGCAAATATAAAATATGATCCATCACGTCAGATATCTATCTGGGATCTGACTTGACCAGTAATAACTTCAGCTGGAATCATAACACTTGACGAGAGAAAAGCTTAGACTAAAGGGGAAAAAAAATGAAGGGATAGAGCTCAGAGAACGATTCTGAATCAAATTAAGGATTTGATTTAATTTGAAACCTGCGTTTAGTGCCTAAATTTAGCAAGGTCGGAATTGAAGACATTTCACCTCATTTGAAAATAGATCTTTGGTTCTTAATGTTAGTGTGCAATGATTGGTACGCATGTCCATAATTGAACTTCTTTGTCAGAAGAACAATCTACAGACTATGAATCTGTCAAAACAGCAAAGCTCAATACATTAAGAGCTTACCTCTGAAGCTTATTAAAGTTTAAGACTACTGGAAAGAAACTTAACCAAGAATTTGCAGACTTTGCAAGAAGAAAAAGATGCTGTGGGAACAATAGTTTAGACCGCTGGAGTTAGAAAAATAATTAGAAACGTGAGATAAATTACCTTCATGGAAGAATTCTAAAATAATATTCTAATAAACCTGAAGACTTATTTAAATGAGAATAGAAGTATGAAACATCAGAGAAGTAACAGCATTGGTGGCTACCGATGACATCTCACATGGGAACCACAAGGAAATTGGAGCAATATGAAATGAGGTTTTAAAAATTATTAGTTCTGTGGAATAAACAGAAGGATGCTGAAGTAATAAAAGGGCAGAACCTAAGAGTGACAAAGTAAATGTGTTTCAATTGTAATCAAAGACATAATAAAACTAATTCCTGTAAACTAATGGGACACCCGTTGCAGTATGAGGAACACCTAAGGAATCCTCTGAAAAGGGTGCATCAGGAAAGGAAACAGCTAATAAAACTGTAACAGTGTTACAGGAACGAATACTCTCTTAGAAGCTACGAGGAAGGGAGAAATCGCTCCGGACAGTTAAGATAATTTTTTTTATTTATTGAGAGAATCAGACTTCAACGTTTTTTGTTTCGAGAGGAGAGATACTTTCTTATTGTTCTAATCAAAGGACAACCAATAAATACATTCAGAGACACTGGAGGAAGTCAGTTACTGATGACACAGTGTGTCTTCGGATGTGGGTGGGTGGGTGCTCGTGAATGAAAAATACAATTGGAGTTATCCCAAGAGATTACAAATCATTCTCATCATATAGAGGCGGATGAAAGAGTGATAAGATGTAAGAGTAGACTGAGACTGCTTTACCAAAAGCAACCAGAGCTTGTCTGGAATAGTAAGTGGAGAGGCTGTAGCTGGAATAATGCAACAAATTCCTAGAGGAGGAATTGATTTTGTTTTAAGGAATGATACGGCTGGTTCAAAAATATTGGCTTTGCCGAGAATGTTGGAACAACCAGAAGTAGTAAAAGGAAATGAGATCCCACGGGAGGATCTTCCTGGTTTGTTCTGCGTAATGACCAGATCTCACGCCCATAAAATTAGGCAAGAAGAGGAAGAGTCAACGAAATAGCGAGATGACTTGGAAATTCAGTTATCTGACACTATTTTCAAAAACCCAAGTCAAAAGGAAGAAGGTAAAGAGAATGAGGCTGACATATTTAGCCAATTTTCACTAACAGAAATACGACAGACAGTTCATGAGTTGAGACTGTTATAGCAAACATCCTACTCAAATTAAATAATGGCACTTGGATATTGGTTCTGATTTAAAAGACAAACTTAATTAGAAAAAAAGACCACCTCAAAGCATCCAATGAGGAATGGGCAGCAACCTCAGTTGGTAGTTCCATGTGAATATTGTAACAAAATTTTCATCAGTAGCTCAGGAAAATCTAATGGCAGGTCAGTTGGGTATTAAGAAACAGCAAGCTAAAATGTCAAAGCATTTTTATTGGCCACAATTACAAAGATTTGGTCAAGTTTTGCCAGATATGCCATTCCATGGAGGGGTAGGGAAACCCCAATTAAACCTGCACCTCTAATCCAGATAACAACTTTCAAAAGAAACATTAACCAGGATCTTGAAATTTTGTAGTATTCCTACCTAAAACCAGGACTGGCAATCAGTATCTATTAACAACTAAGGATGCTTCAATCAGATTTCCAGAAGCAATGCCTTTGGGAAAAATTACAGCTAAGAAACGGTTGTGGGGAACTTCAGTCAATTTTTAAAAAATGAATTATCCAAAGTAGTAAAATTAGATCATAGATCAAACATGAGTCACAACTATTCAACAGAATAATGAATAGTTTGGAAACAAAACAATTCAACTTATCTACAATCTCCAGGGCCACTGGAAAAATGGCATCAAATATTCAGCAGCTTATGGTCAGGAATGTCCTGATGATTAGAATAAATTGCTTGCTATGTGGGATGCCCCTAATGAATCCACAGGATTCGGTCCTTTTGAACTATATATAGATACCAGTGTTTCAACGTATCCATACATGTCGAACGGTTAACTTTGTTCCTTAATTTTCTACTTTGTACTTAAAGATTTTGTACCTAGCTACCTCCGTACCTAAGATGGCACCAGAAATGGTAACATCGCACACTTTTCACTGTACAAATGTACTTCAGTACCCGTGGCAATAAAACCTAATTCTAATGCTGAATTAAGTAGCAAAAATCTCTCAGACTTACATCTGTTTTACTTAGTACAACTTTTCCTTCTGGGCCCTTTCCCTATCCAGAAGTCAACACCCAACTGGCAAAGAATTTACTCTTATTTCTTTTAGTCAATGTGTTCAGAGAAGTTATTACATACCTCTGAAGCAGATGGGACTGTTTACTTTGAGAAGGCCAAACTTTGGAATTTTATTGTTGGAGACAAGTGATTAGTACTGCTGTCTCTGAGGACCCATTAAAAGCAAGGTTCACTGGACCTTACCAAAGCAAAAAAAAACTCAATGTAGTGAGTATCCTGACAGAAGCTGGGGGGTAGGGGGGGAATAAATTTAGCAAGTGTGTCATTAATATGTTAAAGCAATAACCTGACAGGGTGATACCCGAAATCAAAGTGTATTTTACAGTGGTTAAAGAAATAAGGAGTGAAATAAAAATCAGAATTGCAGAATGAATTAGAAATTTAAAATTCAGATGTCAACCCTCCAGTAATTAAATTGGATAATATAGAGGTACCTAAAGTTAGATGGAACATTATACAATCTACCAAAAAACCGAACAAACTAAGTTTGGAAAGCCATTACGGACTCATAAATCAAGTTGTATAAATAGGTCAGGAAAGCTGTCTTTAGGCATTCATGATGATGATGTATGAGATCAGATGTACTACCTGTAAAATGGGGCAGCACGATAGCTCAGTGGTTAGCAATGCTGCCTCACAGTGCCACGGGCCCAGGTTCGAATCCACCCTCAGGCAACTGTCTGTGTGGAGTTTGCACATTCTCCCCGTGCCTTAGTGGGTTTCCTCCGAGTGCTCCAGTTTCATCCCACAATCCAAAGATGTGTAGGCTAGGTGGATTAGATATGCTAAATTGCCCAATGTTCAGGGATGTGTAGATTAGGGGGATGGGTCTGGGTGGGATGCTCTGAATGTCGGTGTGGACTTGTTGGGCCAAAGGGCCTCTTTCCACACTGTAGGGATTCTCTGATTCTATGATAAAACAGCAAGTGTGAGAAAGTACCAAGTTGACACTGAATAGTAACAGTCACAGCAACTGGAGTTTACTTAATATGATGGTGTTGAAAGTAGATGGATCTATTGTGTATATATCAAAAAGTCAATGCGGTAACAAAAGCAAACTCATTTCTCATTCCATAATTGGAAGACTTTATTAAGATGTTTGGACAAGCACAATTCATTACAAAAAAAGTTAAAAAGATAATGGCAAATTCCACTGACTGATACAGCCAATGCAATATTAGCTTTTGTGACATGGAATGTACTTCATCAAGGTAAAGTCATGGTATTTGGAATGAAAAACATACCAGCAACTTTTCAATATTCAGCCATCAAGCCTATCAAAGGATTACACAACTGGTTATCTACACAAATGATTTAGTTGCACTCAGCAAAATCTGGGATGAACATTTGCAACCCTTGAACAAATTATTTGATTGATTACAGAGAGTCAATTTGGGCATTAACTTGCCTAAGTGTGAATTTGCCAAAGCAAAAGCAAATTATTTGGGCCACACTGTGGGACAAGGTCAAATAGCATATGGAGAAGCAAAAATAAGGACTATCTTACCATTTCCTGTGCCTGCGACAAAGTAAGAAGTTGAGAAATATATTGACATGAGAGAATTTTTATCAATGTTCATTACAAATTTCAACATACAGTGGCTCCTTTGACAAGTTCATTAAAGAAAGGCAAGAAACGTGAATGGACCAAAAAATATCGAACTGCCTTTGACAAACTGAAAGCTGCACTAACTACCAAGCTGGTTATAACTGCACAATATTATGATAACCATTTCAAGTGACTGTTGGCGTTGATGCAATGTATCTACAACATTTTGAATTCTACACATCTAACAACCCTGCAAACTGCTGTTTGTACAGATCAGAACCCTCTCATTTTTGTTGAAAGAGTCCAGGAATTTGAGATGGTTCCATAAAAATATAATGCTACCACCATATAGTTTCAAAGTTATTCATGTGGCTGGAAAAGGCAATATTACAGCAGATGTTCATCCACAACAAATATGAAAGACAAAAAACCCTGAATGCTAGAAATCAGAATCACAGATATTGCTGGAAAATTCAGGTCAGGAGCAATAACTCTGGAGAGAATGCAGAGTTAACATTTCGGGTCCACAACTTTGAGTTCTGAAGAAGGGTCACTGGACCTGAAACATTAACTCTGCTTTCTTTCCACAGTGGCTACCAGACCTGCTGAACTTTTCTAGCAATCTTTGTCTTAGCTTGTGAAAGAAAACAAACATTGACCAAAATGGACTTAGGTAGAAAATGAGTCTTATGGAAAGTCCTTGTGTATTAAGATGAATATTGTTCTTGTCAAAGTAAAATTTGTATAAATAGAGTAGGTATAGTGGCATAAAGAAATTGGAGGGAAAATCCGTCTTTTAAAGGTACCTTTTCATTTCTTTCTGGTGGGGAGGTGTGAAGAAGGTTTATGATATGTTTCTATTATTTGGAAATTTGGGTTCTAACCAAGTTTGATTTGTATTTTTATACTGTGTGGGTTAAGAAGAGAAATACCTAGTTTAATTTAGGTTTTGAGAGTGGTGCTAGCATATCTGGAAATATATTTCCATATAGTTAAAGGCTGCTTTTTTGGGAAAAAAGCTCCTAACGTGAATCATTTGTTCTTAAGAAAAACAGATGCTGGAGAATCTGAGATAACAAGGTGTAGAGCTGGATGAACACAGCAGGCCAAGCAGCATCAGAGGAGCAGGAAGGCTGACGTTTCGTAGGCCCGTTTCCTGCTCTTCTGATGCTGCTTGGCCTGCTGTGTTCATCCAGCTCTACACCTTGTTATCTCAGATTCTCCAGCATCTGCAGTTCCTACTATCTCGGAGGAGAAAAATATTGGGCTGCTGCCTAGAAACAAGGAGCTTATGACACAGGGAGATGGAGACAAATACAGAAACATAGTATCCTGTTAAAAAAGAACCATTCAGAAAGATAGGCATTGTGTAGGTTTCTGTTAGAGAACAGATGTACGACTGCAAAACTGCTGTTAGCATACCAGTCCCCAACAAGTTTAGGTGAAAAATCCTGTGTGGGTTAATGTCAGCAAGAGAAAACCCCAGAAATGGAAGTCTTTGGAATAGAGTTTAAGGAGTCCACATTAAGAAATAAGTGAACTAAGTTAGCAATCTGTTTAAGGGTCTCATGAAGAGACATTCATTAGACAAACCATCAAGTAAAGGCAGAGATTTGCCAG